ACTTTATATCGAAAACGAACTTTACAACTTTGGTGCGGGGTGGGGGGGCCCTGCGGGGAGGATGGGGGGGGCGGGGGGAGAATGGGAAGGGATGGGAAGGGGAAACAAAGGAGGTGGCTACAATGCTTGATAAGAAATGTACTCATTATCTTGCCCATGTAATTGTAACCCCTCTGTACAGTATTTTCACAATAAAAAAAAAAAGAAAAGTAGTGGTACCTGCATTTTTTTCTAACCACTTTTTTTTAAATACTTTTTTTATTGTAAAAATACTGTACAGAGGGGTTACAGTTACATGAGCCAGGTAATGAGTACATTTCCTATCAAGCATTGTTACCTCCTTTGTTTTTTCCCTCCCATTCCCTCCCACCTCTACAACTACCCTCCCCCTCTTCCCTTCCCCTCCCCAAATTAGAGAAGTGTATATACAAGATGCAGGACACTGACATCAAATACAGTAAAAACTGGTCTGACCACTTTATTTCTATCTCATTGTAAAGTAAAAATTACTTTTATCAGTTCAAGAGTGGTTGTCTTATTTGCTTTCCCTCCTGACTTGATCTTTATTTTTAAATTTTCTTATAGTCAACACTTAAATTATATTTATTTAAAATTCTCTCTGTTTTTCTTCTTTTTTATTAAATAAATAGCAGTTTGCTGTACACATTATTCTGTTCTTTCTCTTCTCTAGTTCATATAACTGCCACAAATGAAAAGATGGGGATGCACAAATATTCCTTCTTCTTTGCCCTGTTTTAAATTGGCCTTGTTTTTCAGGAAGCTCCTGTTATCGTAAATATAGGTTCTGTGCAGGCACAGGAAAACCCAGTCATATAACCCTGCCCAGCACCTCCTTGTTTCAGATTACTTTCTCCAGTTGGTTAGGAGCACAAGATCAGATCTGCAGGGCTGATGGGAATGGGAAGGGTGGAAGGAAAGAAGAATGTGCCTTCCAGGGTGAAAGCTGTGAGTCGAAGAGCTATGAGTTGGGGCCAATGTGAAGCCACCTCATGCAAGGCATGGGGAAGAGGAGGGGATTTGGAGCATCACTCAGCTTTTTCTGATGATTTTATGCCCTGCATAGATTGTATGCCTTACACTTTTACATAGAAATTATTAACGTATGTTGAAGATGGAAACTTTTTTCCCACATTACTCTCAACTTTGTTCCCCTGTGCACTAGCTTTCATGTTAGTTGACCAACTTGGCCATCTTGCTAAGTTGTTTTTCCAAATTATTGTAATAATTAATCATTTAAAAAGGCTTTCGAGTGCTGTGACTAGCTGGGCTTTGGGTTTTCTCCTCGCTTTTCCTTTGCTCTATAGGATGAGCTGACCACTACCAAGAGGAGTTATGAGGATCAATTAAGTATGATGAGTGACCACCTGTGCAGCATGAATGAGACACTGTCCAAACAGAGAGAAGAGATTGACACGCTCAAGATGGCCAGTAAGGTAGGTCAGGTGAGGTTGGTGTTTAATATGGTCCATACATGATAATGCATTGTTAAGCATTCTGAAAGCTGAAGGTTATTAGCTTTAAAGTGCTTGTGAATCATTTTCCTTAATGTCAATTGTCCTGTCCAGAAGGAGAATTAAGTTTCTTTGGCTAAGTTATAAGCCGAAGCTTTAATGCTGTGTCTGGTGCGTTCTTGGCATTTCTGTTACTCTTGTATAGCTGGGAGGGGGTGTCACAGAGGGTTTTAAAAGAGGGACTGCTCTTTGTTTATACAAGAGTCTAAATGGTGTCAGAATGACTTTTAGTGAATTCTCTTGACTAGCCATATATTTAGGAATGTCTTTCTTACCTTTTAATTCCAGAGATCTCCTTTCTTTTAATTTCTCAAAGCCTCTCCTTGTCCCTAGCTATTGTGTAATATGTCAGTTTGGAATGCATAGCCACATGCCATGTCTCTCTTACTGGACGGTCATGTGTATATTCTTTTGCCACGAAGTTAGGCTTCAGGGGACCAGGGATTCGGTTCTGTGTGTCACCTCAGATACTTAGCACATTTCAGTGACTCAGACAATATTGTACCACAAACATCTAGGATTTGCTAGCTCCAGCTTGTTCTCTGAGATCTGCTATTACCGCTTACTGATTCTGCAGGCATTTATTGAGTTTCTGCTACATGACCTGGAAAAGAAGTGGAAATGACTAAACCAGAGTTCAGTTTTAGCATTAGCAGTGATCTGCTCATTTGGAGCCTCCTTAGAAAATTGTTCGTTAATACACTGGAGACTGCATTGTATAACTATGTCTTTTGGTAGTCTTCTGATAGTCCTTCACCACTTGCCACTTAGGAGGGGCGGGGGGCTCTGATGCTTGTCTGGGCTATTTCTGTGATGACCATAACAGCTAACACAGCAGATGGGGGCTCTTTGGTTACTTTGGCTGCAGGAAAGTTGAGCTGCAGCTCAACTGAAGTACGGGCTGGTCCTCCTGAAGATTGCCTCATGTTGTCTTCTTGATATTCTAACAGGCAGTATAACTCACTGTTACATTCCTAATAATGGCTGAGTCAAGAAGATAGGTGGTATGTTCAAGGTGTAATTGAATTATAGCTACTTCAGAAGTTAGGTAATTTTCAAGTTTTCCTAAAGTTTTTTTTTAATGTGTTCCTTAAAATACTTGCATTAAGAAAACTGAGTTAAGACTACTTTTCAGTTTAGACTTTATATTGATTGCTAATCTGGGGCTTGAACTCAAGGCCTGAATGCCCAGAATGCTTTTGCTCAAGGGTAGGGGCTCTACCACTTTGAGCCACAGTTCCACTCCGAGTTTTCTGGTAGTTAATTGGAGATAAGGATCTTGCCAACTTGCCTGCCCAGGCTGGCTATGAACCATGATTCTCAGATTGATCTCAGCCTCTTGAAGATTACAGGTGTGAGCCACCAGTACCTGGTTTGCTCATCTTTCTTTGATTATTCTGTAATCCCTTCTTCTCCATTTATTAGCAGTTGATACCATACAGCATCACCTTATGGCTGATTGACATTATCTCCCTCCACTAGATTTGAAGTAAACATCCTCAACCATTTGTTTGCTATTATCTTGGTTCTGGTTTTTAATCTGTAGGCATTACCCACTTATAAGAAGAAAGAACTCCTACTCATTTATGAATTCAGTTAGAAACTTTCTAAGAGGGAAAACCACTCCAAAAAGAAGACAAGCTATGCAAAACAAGAAAATCTGGACTTCCGTATTTAAAGAAATTAGAAAAGAGTTAAAGTATCTTTCCTCTAACTTGTCCTCAGTCATTTTCTAAGGTTATTTTTGACAGATAATAGTGTCAGTTGAGTATTAGTTAGCCTATATTCAAAATTATTGGGGTAAGCCTACTGGAGTACCCCTGTAATCATAGCACTAGGGAGTCAGAAGCAGAAAGATTGATAGTTGAAAGCTAACCTAGTCTCCGTTGTAAGACCTCGTTACAGAAAACAAAGGTACACACACACAAAGAACATCAAATGATTTCTGCTGAGATCTCTAAAGGGTGTTTATTTAAACATGGAACATATTTAGGACAATCTATTTTATTCAGCTTCATAAATTTCATATACCCTGTTTTGGGAACAACATGGGTGCTTGAGGCTTTGATAAATCCCAACCAGGAGCTGCCTTTTTTTTTTTTCTTTTTGTATCACCTACAACAAACTGCTTTATGATTGTGATGGAAAGTTAACCATGCAAGATTATTGACTTTCTCCCTCTGGGAAACCTGCATGCCCCAGAGTGAAATAGTCATCAGACAGTTTGGTTAACAAACTATGTGAACTGTTTTTCTGGAAGGTTGTGTTCTTATTGCGAATATTTTTCTTTGCACAGGGCAATTCTAAAAAGAACAAGAGTCGATAGTTTACAAATAGCTGGGTGGTGACTGTTCCTTCCAGAGCTGCAAGAACTACAGGGCCGAGACTCTACGTCCAGTGCTGGCAGCCATCGGGCAGCCGGAGTGTTGTTGGACCCAGTAAACTAGTCAGTGTTGAGTATGACCTTGAAACACTTCGGATATATCTGCAAGCAGTAAGGCAAATACAGAATTTGATGTTGACAGTGAAATGGAAAACAATACGTATACATGGATATCGTAGGTTTCCTTATGCTGTTTTTACTGTGCACTTTTTAAAATTAGGTTTTAATTTGAGTATGTAAGAACAACAAATATTTTGTATATTTTCAAACTCAATTATATGGTAATCGATTTGGTATCTATGGAATAGATATATGTTTCTGGATAAAATGCTTAAATTGTCAAATTGTCATTACTTCTTACTATAATTGAAAGCAGTCTCCAGATTCTTTTTAAAGATTTATTCAGATCTCTCCTCCCTTCTCTTCCCACCTTCCCTCCTTCCCCCCTGCTCCTTCTGCCCTGCTCCCCACCTTCTCTCTCTCTCTCTTCTGTCAGAGGGAGTGGGCCTTGCAAACATTAGATCCTGTGGGTTTATTATCATTGTCTTCAGCTCTTCAGTATCCTCTCTGTGTTCAAATAATAGCTAAAGGTATTCATGTCAATAAATTCGTACTTACATCAAACTTTGAGTCGCTTTTTGACAACTTGTTAAAGGACATAAAAACCTATTAAAGTAGGCTTTATAAAAATGTATCAAATCTCAATAGACTTAAATGCAGTCTTTCTAATTCCTCCAATTGGAGTAATTGCACAGTTAATACTTTATTAGGCCTCGAGAGCTGCTGAATCACCATACTAAAGTAAGCACCCTAAGCTCTTCCAAGCCAGCTCCCTTATGCTATCTCAGAAACATATCACTTTACTGTTAGGGTCTCTCTTCCCGCCTGCCACTCCCCAGGCCCCAAGTAGATTGCACCTCCCTCACTTGCCTGCATAGGCCCCTTTCATTTCTACATCCAAGTTCTAGATTAGCTGAGAGGTTCTTCAAATCCTTTCCTCTCCTTCCTGCCTATATTCTGTGCCCTTTGGTTCTATCTAGGCTATTACCACTCAGCTCCAAGCTATTTTTTTTCTGGTTCCTCTGAAAGCCCATCACCAGCGCCGGTTGTGTTCAGCAAGGAGGTCAGGCCTCCCTCAGCCATCTGTCCCAAAGAGACTCTGGTTCTTCTGTCTTGTCCTCATGGCAGTGAAGGTGTTTGGATCCTGATACGGAAGAATCTAGGTATTAGTTAAGTACCATTCTACTTGGCCCTTCAGATCACTCCTTTGGCCTTTCTTATTGCAGTTCCCTGCCCATTGGCAGACTTCCACCAGCTGAAGGCTGCACCTACGGTTCCGCAACCAAACTTCCCTCATTACCCCTGGGTATGGGCTCCTAAACACTTCAGGGAAACAGCCAAGCTGTCTAGCCCCTGCCAGACTTACATTGTTCATGACAATCTCATTCATTTCTATTCCAAGTTTCATTAATGGCTTCACCACCTCTCCGGCCTCACCACCTCAATCCTGGGCTCTGCAATCAAAAAATCTCATCCTGCCAGCAGTGAGTGCCTCTTTGTTGTGGCACTTGTGCACAGTTCCTATTCTGCATGAAGCTAACCTGTTACCTGTGCTCTCCATTCTACTCCCAGTCCAGGGCTTGGATTTTAACATTCACATTTTCATTTTCTCATTTTGTTGGCTCTTCCCCCTCAGTTTCCCAACCACTTGAATATACCCATCCTTTAAAAGTTTGGAGTTGGAAGTTGAGTGGTGGCTGAAGTGGTAGAGCACTAGCCTTGAACAGTGGGCCTTGGGACAGTGCCCAGGCCCTGAGTTCAAGCCCCAGGTCTGGCAGGCATGCGCATACACGCACACGCACGCACGCGCACACACACACACACAAAACTCCCCAAATAACCTTCCAAATAAAAGTTTAGTGTTACTTGGAGGCCAAACTCCCTAAGTTGGAACCTATACTTTTACATGAGTTTACTTAGCATTTCTGTGCCTCCATTTCCTTATCTTAAAATGGGAATATTAATAGTACCTCATAGAATTTTATGAGGATTAAATGAATTCATATTGTAACTTTTCTACTTGATAAATATAAAGGTTAATTATTATTAATAAAGATTGTTGGTAATGTTATTGTTATTGCTACTTTCTTCCCTCCCTACCTCCTTCCTTTCCTCTCCTTCCTTCCCTCTCCTTCTTTCCCTCCTTCCTTCCCTCTCCTTCCTTCCTTCCTTCCCTCCTTCCTTCCCTCCCTCCCTCCCTCCCTTCCTTCCTTCCTTCTTTTTTTTGGTATTGGCCCTAGGGCTATCCCTGCGCTGCTTTTGCTCAAGGCTAATGCTCTACTAATTGAGCCAGAGCTCCAATTCTGGCTTTTTGGGGGGTTAGTTTATTGGAGATAGGAGTCTCATGGTGCTGGTTGCCAGTGGCTCACGCTGTAATCCTACCTACTTAGGAGGCTGAGATCTGAGGATCATGGTTCAAAACCAGCCTGGGGAAGGAAAGTCCGTGAGATTCTTATCTCCAACTAACCACCAGAAAACCAGAAGTGGATCTGTGGCTCAAGTGGTAGAGCACTTGCCTTGAGCTGAAGAGCTCAGGTACAGCTTCCAGGCCCAGAGTAAGTCCTACAACTGACAGACACACACACACACAGACACACACACAAGCACACACAATAGTCTCATGGTCTTTTCTGCCCACGTTGGCTTTGAACTACAATCCTCAGATCTCAGCTTCCTGAGTAAGATTACAGGTGACAGCCACTGGCACCTTTTTATCCAAATTCTTTCCATTTTTTTCTTCTAGACTGTGGAAGAGTAGTCTATGCTGGATGTCTCAGGAATGCCATTATTTTATCCAGCTTCCCATTCCACATTTCTATGAAAAGTCCTCCACCCTCTTCCAGTCAACTTTTAACTAGCTTTTCAAGCCAATTTAAAGACCTTGGTGCAATGTTTATTTGGCTCTTTATTTTTATGTACATACTGTTACACAGTCTTGCCAGCTACCAAATGAATTTAATATATTTATGCCATGATGATACCCCTTCTAGTCCTATAAAACTCTTTTGAGTCAAGTGGTTCTAAAACACCAACAAAACTCTAAATTAGTAACAAAAAACATTAACAAGGCAAAACAAAAAAACAATTTCCTAATCTTCCTCCATGTGTCATGACCGCCTGTTTTAGTGTCTATTTCTAGGTAACACATTGTTCTTGTCTTTATTATCTTCCTCCCTGCCTGACCTCACCACACACATTTTAAACTAGTTACATCAACATTTTGACTAGGCGGTTATTCAGTATTCTTTGTTATGACTATCACATACTAGTTGTGGTAGCTGAGGGTGCCTGTACAACTCTTTGTTTTCCCTGAAGTTAGTGAGACTCCATTCCACAAACATAAGATATAACAAGTGAAGTTTCTGGAATCCTTTGGCCTGCTCCAAGCTGTCGGTGTTGGTCTCTGGGCAGTCAGCCTGGGCATCTCCTCAGTGTCACCCTTTCATGCCTGCCCTCATGACGTGCCTTGCAGCACCCTTTTCAAAAATGTCTCTCTCCTGCCTAAGCCTGTGGAGAGTGAAAAACAAGAGGGGAATTCTCAGTTTCACTTAAGACTCTGATAGTCTCACAGAGAGTGAGAGTGAAGTCCACATAGAGTAAAAGTTAAAAAAGGGGGGGGGAAGACTTGTCATAAAGTGTGCATTGCTTTCTGGAGAAGGTGGGATTTCCACACCATACCAAAATGATGTTTTCTCATCTTCCCCATATTATGTTGAAAACCATCACTATTGAAAATTTGGAGGTTAGAAAAGGTATCGAGTCCACCTCTCTATAGATTGCTCATATATAATTGCTCCAGTTCTTATAATCATGTTCTTATTTCATGTGTATATTAAGATGCGCCACAGCATGGTTCTTGTATATAATTTGATTTGCCAACACCACCCTCCATTAGACTATTATATGAAGTGCAACCTTTTTTTTTTTGAGGTGCCCCTGGGTCATTGCACATGGTAGGCATGCCCTCTACCACTGAGCTACTCCTATGCTCAGTACCAATCACTTTTCAAAGTTGATAAAACTGTACTCTCTATGCTTTAGGAAAGATGATAGAAAATTTCAGTTAAACATAACAACATGACCACTTTAAAGTTCATTACCCATTAAAAAAAATCAGCTATAGCATTAGCAAAGAAAAGTGTGAGAAAAAAACCCAAACAAACACATAAGTGAAGAACCAATTAAAAAAAGCTGCCAAGTGAGTTAGAAACAAAGGCGCCCTCCATTTGACTGGAAGCTTTCTTCATAGTAAAGCTCGCTAGTCAGAAAGATGTGCAATTTAGGGTTTTATGCAGCATTACCTCTGCAAGTGGCTCCCAGGTCTTAAAAGACTTTAAGCTCTTCCATAACTTTAACATAAGATAACAACATAGTTGGCTGCTGATGAGTATGAAAACATCTGAGCCACATTGACAAGGAATAATAGTTTGTTCTGTGTTGGAAGAAGAAGTTTCTGTTCTCGGCTCAGAGCCATGTCCTCAGATACCATAGTGATTAATGGAAAGTCAGTAAGAGGATGCTCTTTGTCTTAAAATTTTTAAGCAGTTTAGTAATTAGTTCCAAATTAGGAAGTTAACTGGCAGTCAAAGCACAGAAGTGGGAAAACTCATTATAGTCTTTGGCAATTGTAGAAATAAAAGGCTAGAGAGCATTGGAACAAATTTTTGTGAGGGGAGGATTAGAACTGACTCTCATTGAAACATACTCCAGGCTTGTCCTGTTTGCAGACAGAGCAGCCTCAAAAGTTACAGCTTTCATCCTTCCTCAGTTAGAACTGAAGAATGAAATATACTTCTGTTGATTTTATCAGGGCCTCTGATTTTCCCAGAACTCCCAGACCCAACCCCACTGTCCTAAAAACCATGAAGTCATGGAATGACCCAGTCAGGGGGACATCTTTTAAGCCCAAGAATAGAAACAGTACAACAAAATGTCAGTCACCTACATCCTGCTAAAAAACTGAAAAATAGTCTCACTTCAGCCTTCCTGTCTTTTTCTTTTCTTCTTGTTTTTAGAGTTTGGTTTTTGTTTTGTTTTGCTTTGCTTTTTTTCTTCTTCTATCCCTCCCTTTCCTCCTTTTCTTCTCTCTTACCATTCCTCCTTTTCTCCCTCCCTTTCCTTCTCTCTTTTTTTGGGACAGGGTCTTACTACATAGTCCAGGCTAGCCTGCAACCCAAGATCCTCCTTCCTCAGCTTCCCAAGTGCTGGGATTACAGACCAATACCACCATTCCCAACCTTTTAGTTGTGTTAAAATGGCAAGTCTCATAGATTTTCACATGTCATCTCCCAGCTACAGATGATGTGAAGCAAGAGCCATGGCAGACTCAGTTCCTCAGCATTTAGCAAAGGGTATCATATTGTATGTAGTAGGAGTTCAATAAATGCTAACTGGATATCTCTTAGGAATCTGGCCTAGGGTTCAACCATAGCCATGGCTGGTGTAGCTCAAGCCATACCTCAGAGTGTCCCATTTTCATGATAAACGACGTGGAATCCTTGGCCATTCTGAACTGATTAAGTGATCACCCCCTAAACACAGTTGATTTCATTGTCATTCTCAGTGAAGATGTACACTTTCTATTGATCTCAGAAAATTT